AGTAGTTGTAAAGGGGTATTGTCAAGAAGAAGGCATTGACTATGAAGAGACCTTAGCACCTTTTGCTAGGCTAGAATCTGTTCGCATCTTTATGGCTTATGCGTCACATAAGAATTTTGAAGTTTATCAAATGGACGTCATGTGTGCCTTTTTGAATGCGGAGTTAGAGGAGACAGTTTATGTGGAGCAACCACCAGGCTTTATAAATGAGAAGTTTCCCAACCACTGCTATATTCTGAACAAAGTCATCTATGGCCTAAAGTAAGCTCCAAGAGCCTTGGTACGAAACCCTTACTCATTTTTTGAAAATGCTAAGTTTAAAAAAGGTTCAGTTGACCCAACCTTCTTTCAAAAGAAAGATGGTGACCACTTGATCATCGTCCAAATTTATGTTGATGACATCATCTTTGGATCTACGAACCCTAGCTTAACAGCTGAATTCCGAAAGTCGATGGAAACTAAATTTGAGATGAGCTCTATGGATCCGATTAACTTTTTCCTTTGTTTGAACATAAGACAGAGTCAAGAAGGTATCTTTATCAACCAGGAGGCCTACACAAAGACCTTGCTCGCTATGTTCGGAATGGTGGGAGACTAAAAAATGAAGGTTCCAATGGTATTCAGAATGAAACTAACACCATCTCTAGAAAAACCAGCTGCTGATATGACCCTTAATCGTCTTATAATAGAATCATTGATGTATTTAACAGCTAGTCGACCAAAATTATGTTTCCATTTGTTATTGTGCTAGGTTCCAAGCGAATCCTCACGAACCCAACATGGTAGCTGTTAAGAACATTTCTAGGTACTTAAAACGAACCTCCTCACTAGGCATATGGTATCCATCAAGCTGAGGTTTCTTTGTACAAGCATTTTCGGATGTTGATCTCGGAGGGTGCGCTCGGATAAAATTAGTTCAATAGGAGGATGCTAATTTTTAGATGGCAATCTCGTGAGTTGGAAATCGAAAAATCAAACTTGTGTATCCTTCTCAACTATTAAAGTAGAGTACATAACTACAACCTCATGCACCTCACAAGTCATTTGGATTCAAAGCCAACTTCGTAACTATGGCATTAACGTGAAGTGAATCCCCTTATATTGCAAATCTAAAAGGCCCATTCACATTTGTCATAACCCAGTCAACACTAAAAAATGAAACACATTGCACTGAGGTATCATTTCATCAAAGATCATGTAGAAGATGGTAATGTTGAGATACATTTTGTAAGATCTGATGATCAGTTGGCGTACATCATCACGAAATCCTTAACTGAACCTACCTTTAATCGTATTCTTCAAGGCTTGGGAATGATGGAAGCTGAATCCATTCCAAAACCACTTTCACTTTCATAGTGACATTTTCGTTTTCTTTTACACTTTCACACCCGCAGTCTAGAGGATTTCAAGCCAATTGGTGCGAACGCTTGCAATATTTTGCAGTCATCTTTTGTTTTGCGAATCGGTGCGAACTGTCGTAGTAATTCGCAACCACATTTTCTACGACTTCATACAAAAGCTCAAGTTTCTCATAACCCACTGTTCCTTAGTGGTTCAGAGTGTTTCATATCGTTTTGTATCTTATGTATATTTTTTCTTATTTTATTTGTTTATTTATTATATTATTTATTTTAGTTTATTTTAGTCTTCTATCTACTCTATTTTACTATTTTTTTTTTATTTTGTCCTATTCTATTCTATTTTTATTTTAGTTTATTGTTCATTCAAAATTACAAAAATATTTAATGGTTTTGTTTTATTTTTATTTTATTTTATTTTATTCTGTTTTTATTTCTTTTAGAAAATAAAAAATACAAAAATATTGTCTTTATTTTTCTTCTCTCTTATTTTACGTATTTCAAAATTTCAAAATCATTGGATTATTGAGCAGGGTTCATGTCAAGACTCTTGATCATCTCAATTACTAATGATGGGGCAGGTATTATTTTTTTTAATAATGTACTAGCTAAGTGCCCATAGAAGCATTCTGAAGCATGTTGTCTGAAGCCTCCTAGACTTTATGTTGGAGCCGTAATGATTCGATAATACCAATCATTTCTCCCCAATTAGGCTGCAAATTCACATAATTCATGAGCTACCTCAGTCTACTCAAATTGAGTAGAGAGTTAGTTGCTTGGTCACTTTCTCATAGCATAGGTACACTATCTTCTTTGGAAGAACCTTATACTTTTCTCCACTACTTTTGCATTCATCAATGTGACTGTGGAGACTCTTAGATATTACCACTGAGGCTTATGACTACAGAATTTCTGTGTTCATGATCTCTAATTCGTTATCACCACGAATTGAGTGAAACCAAAAATCTAACATACTTATACGAATTGACGGTGAACAATCTACATGTTCAAGACTCTTCACCAAGGAATTAAGAAAACTCCACTTTCATGGTCTATACCAAGAAATCTCTTTCTTTTGCGATATGTTAATGAAGTGCTCTAGACCTATGACATTTCTTCCCAATAGATCCAGTTTCAATTTTTTTTTGAGATTTCAAAGCGAATCCATGTCACTCAAAATAATTTCAAAGCTTACTTGTTCACTTGACTACACTGGTGAAAGAAGTGCTCCATTCGAACTTTAAGACTTATATCAAGTTTTGTAGCTTGTTGGAGATAGAAGCACACAATAAAAACTTTAAAAGATTCCTTTCACTGTTTATTAATAAACAGGTGATCATAATTCAATAGGGAACCACACAGACACTTCTTAGTCTCTCTTGACATTGAAGGAAGAGATTTTTTCCTAGGATCCACTATTTCGTTTCTTAGGCAAGACATCATTGAAATCCCACACAAATATATTGCTTTATTTCTTTACCATTGACACACTCTCGCACAAAGATCCTTGTGATTTTCCAAAAATCTGGTTCGTAGCACTCACATTTATTTTCATTTTCGCAGATCAGCTTGAGCTTTAAAAGTGAACGTTCGTATCAACATGCGAAAGGCGATAGGTTACTTTATTGCGAAAGTGAGAAATTGAAGCGGCAATTATGATGGATAAGATTGATAATGGGCATGTGAAATTTGAACTGAGGCCTGCTTTTCTGTCGCCTGACATATTTTTTTTGATGCAACAGTTGTCACATCGCATCTTTTCAGGCGACGTTTCAGTAACCGATACACCATACGTCTAAATTTCTCTCTCTAATCAAATCGTGTAAATGGGTTTTGGCGATTTAACATCTATTATCACTTTTAAAAATCATCATAGAATTCTGGTGATTATACCCCTCTACTGTTCATCTTCTTCTTTAAGAAATCAACAATGGCAGGTTCTTGTGAAACCCCTTCCGTTCAATTTCATTCTGAACAGTCAACGCTTCTTGCTATCAAGCCTACCCAAAACTTTATTCTCAATCTCGATCCTCTCAAGTATGACAGCTTCATGTTACCAATCGTCGAGTGCTTGAAATACTCACCACTGGCTAAAGTTTTGACCACATCAGAGATTGTTCCGATGTCTCTCCTGTCGAAGGCTTACTCATTTGCTTGCTATATCAAGGAAGAACAAAGAATCACCTTTAAATTTTACAACAAGGCAACCTCAATCACCAAGTCCCAATTTTGCTCTTTGCTACATCTTGTTCATGCCGATGATATGGTAGACCCTAATTTTATCACAATTGCCGCTATCTTGGAGATGTTCAACCAAATGGGTTACAAAGAACCACTAACAACCATCAAAAAGTTCATAAAACCCAATCTGCCACCTCAATGGAATGAGCTTTTTACACTATTATTCAAGATCTTTTTTAAGCATGTGACTGGCTCTGATTTTTCCAGTAAATTATTCATGACCATTATGTACAGGATCTACACAGGGGTCAATGTCAATTTTATGGCTGTTCTTTGGGATCAGTTAGTTTAAAGTACCCATTATAAAAATCAACACAATGAAATTTCCTGTGCATAATTATGGATGATCGTTATCCAACTGGACATTGAGAAGCTTCAAATAACGGTGATGCGAGATTCATTTATGTTTGCTATCTCAATCTTTCACACCACGAATTTCATCATTGCTAACAAATCCAAGTTCTCGTTCGTTGGTTCCATTCTTGAAGCCTTGTTTCGCGCCTTTCCTGTTGCGACCAAGATTCTGGAGGCTTACAAGAAACATCAAGTTTCAGGCTTTCACCTTTTAACTGATGAGATGAGAGAAATATTGGAAGAGGCTGATAAGCCTAAGAATGGAGGAAAGAAGAAAGATGTGAAAGAAGGTACTTCAACAGCAGTTGCAACCCCCAGGAAATGGAAGACACAAGTAGGTTCATCTACACCAGCTCCTCCTCCAACCAAGAAGCCAAAGATAAAGAAGGCAGCTCACAAGCCCAGATCTTCAAATCCCAGTGAAAGTGAATGTTCCTAGTCTGACACTTAGTCGTATATTATCATTGAAGTGGTTGAGCCTATCCAAACCGAAGACAATGCTGCAACTTCAAATCCTGAGGTTTCATAGCCTATTTCTTTAAACCCAGAGGTAATCTTTTAGATTCCTATCTCAGTTCCTATTACTGATGATTTCTTTGATAATGTCTCAGTTCCCTCTCCTACTGCAACTATTTAAACACGAGTTTCCATTGCCCCATGCTCACCTGTCTCATTAGGTGTTTCACAACCCCCTCCTATTCTCTCCGATTCTACCACCACACCAACAACAACTCTTGAGCCTTCTATTCCTGTCAACACATATGATGCAGGGGTAGGAGCTTCAGGTTTAACTGCCAGTCATTCAACACCTCCTATTTATCCTCTGAGACAAGGCGATTCATATACATTTTTCAAAGGCGATGGTTTTGGTTTTGAATCCTTTCGGTTTAGTCCCTTCCGAGTTTAGGAGGGTAGTGATGATGTTGCCCCTGTAACTCAATGACAGTTCAAGGCTATTAATGAGAACCTAGATTCGTTGATCAGTTCCTCTTAAGCTTTAGCAAGTGATGCTTATTCTAAAGTAGTGGTTGAGACATTTTCTAGTCAATGACAAAAGAGCATCAGGAAAATCTGGACAATGCAAATAAAACGGTCTCTGATTCGAATGCTATATGCAGAGAGGCGACTAAAAAGGTCAGAAAACTCATCTATGAAGCTCAAACCTTTATGAAAAGCTTACAAACTTTTGCTGAGTCAAGTACCTCTAAGGCGAATGAGGCGATCGTGGCTCTTCACACCTCACTACAAAAAGAAAAAGAAGTGCTTGTGCAGGTTCGCACTGATCTGCAAAAGGATTACATTGAGTTTCTGACATCAATCTCTTCAGAAATTGATAAGCTTCATGAAGATATGGAACTTGAAAGAAGAATCATGTACGAACTTTCTACCAAAATAACAAAAGTCCAAGTTCAAGCTGCCAAACTCGCCCAAGCAAACAAAGAGATTAAAGAGATTCATTTTGAACGAGCTGTTATTATGAGTTGTGTTGGAGATGTTAATGCTTTTCTCTCCAGTCTTCTTTATACTCAAGATCCCATACTTCCAATCTCCATTCGAAGGCATTTGGCTAGAAATTTTCTTCCTGCTCTTGCCATGCTTAATCGAATAGAAGGTGTTTTTTAGTCTCGTGTCCTTCCAAAACAAGCGGGAGAGTCATCTAAAGAACCACCTCAACAACCTCCGAAGACCAATACTAGTACATTTGGTCATGATGAGCAAAAACCGAAAGTCTCCAATGAATCGAAGGATAATGTAGCTTCAAGTTCAATACGCAAAGAAAAAATTTCAAGTGATGAGCCTATTGTTGATAACAATGAAGATGAAGAGCCTGATGAAAACAAGCTTAAAAGAAGAAAGGCATGAAAGAATGAAATAGATTAACATCAAAGAATCATCCGCGAGGCTGAAGCAAAAGAGCAGGCAGAGCGCGAAGCTCAATTCACTTTGGAAAGTCAAAAGACTTTGTTTCCAACATGGACCTTGGAGCGCATAATTAATGAGGATGTTGAAAATCATAGCATGCATTGGTTGGAACGTGTGACCTATTTTGATCTGGAGAATTCGTAGGCTTCTCAGTTTAACAAGCCTATCACTCCGTGAGCATTTCTCTATCGCAGTTTTGAAGTAATTGTGAATGCTCCTGCAACAGATGAGAATATTGATAATATTTGATGGAGTTTTACTTATCCCATGCCAAGCCTCAGTACCTCACCTGAAGTACACAAAAGATTACTGATGTGAAGGTCATAGGGCCAGTTGAGATAGGGAGCTTCGTGAATATCAAATTCAAAACAACAAGAGGATCTGAAAGTGTTGTTCACGAGTTTTCCTTAGCTGATCTGTCATGTCTAAATCCCTATGATTAGATCATTTTATTGCATTTCCTTTTGAGAGATGAAAAAAGTACGAACCTGGACTCCAATGTTTCATCGTATATTTATAAAGTGGAAAAGTTTGATATTGAAATTGCATATTCTGAAGAGGAAATCCAGTACTCCCCTTACTGGCAAGATGAAAGATATAAATAACATGCAAATAGGAAAGATTTAAAAGGAAAACTGGACTCCAATGTTTCATCGTGGTCCACTAGGTGATGTGCAAAAGTGCCTCTACGCATTGCCTGATCAACGTTTGTTTTCTATAGCTTGCTTGGAGTTTAATTTAAACATCACAGGTCAATGTCAACTGAGTGACAAAGCTATGAAGAAGATTCACTATGATATGTTTAAATAGTATATTGCATTTCACATGCATCTTCTCGCAGTCATCCCCAAGCTCTTCATGACTACAAAGAAGACACAGTAGTGAAGAGCCTCCCGCCTCAATTTACGCAAATGGGGAGATTGTTGGGAACTAGAGTTGCATCATTGTGTTTTATTTAATAGTCCATTTATGTTAATGGCCTTGGGACTTTCCACCCATATTTATTTATTAGGGTTATAGTATTTAAGGTGCGTGCATGCACCGTATTTTAAAAATCATGGAAATAGTTTTGTAGCCCTACACACTTCTACAGTAATAATTCTTCATCGATTTCTTCTGAGCCATGACTTCAAATCGTTAAGCATATTTTGATCCATTCTTGTGTTCTTGGTTTATATTACCTGTTTGAATCTTTCGATGTTGAGAGATTTAATCTCATCACATCAATTCTCTCTATAGAAAATATCACTGGTTTGAACTACATAGGATGGATGCGTAATCTGAAATTGACTGTTTTTTATGAGAATAAAGATTATTTTCTCAATAACCATATTACTAAGATTGACATAGAAACTACTATTGTTGAAGAAATTATTGGTAATACCAAACATGTTGACGACGCTACACACGTTTCTTGTATCATTATAGCCACTATGGCGCTAGACCTAGAAAACTCCTATGTGGAATACTGGCCATTTAAATTAAGGATCTTGTATCCTCAATAGTCATATTAAAATGATATTGCTATTTAACATATGATCTTGAGGGTTACACTAATGACAACTTGATACAATGGATTATTTATTAGAAAGTAATTTTAATAAATATTCATATACTCTTATAACTAATTGGAAAATATTTATTTCATGGAAATAAATAATATTTTGATGACAAGTAATATTACATATTTCACATGGTATGAATTAATAAGTCGTGTACAATATCTTGGACTAGATAATATTTTTTCTTGTATTAAAAAGTTAATGTTTATATTTTATAAAATTATTTGTAAATTTTTTAAAATTTTGGTTTCTTCTGCTTGCAAAAGCTGTATATGCTATTTGATAGATATAGCGTGGTCTTTGGTGTTATTTAATTAAAAGAAGTAAGCATGGGGGAAAAGTTAGTCTAGGTTCATAAGTGCTTAAGTTATTAAGGACTAATGTACTTCGTTTTGCCTTTAAAAGAGTGCATGAAAGGCTTTCATTCTTGACCACTTTCTGATGCAAAAAATGTAGCACCCTCTTCATTCTCCGTATTGTTCTCTCAAGTTGATAGAATAGTTACTTGCCTCCTATTTTTAATTTATACTCTTGTTTTGAATTAAAGCTTAATATTTGTAACTAGCATTACATCAAGTTGGATCATTGTTGGTGTCTTAAAGGTTCCACATTTTACGTCAACTTCAAGGCTCCCCTAGAGGACCTAAAGAATAACAATGATAGTTATTTCTTCATCTCTTATATATCATTCCATTTTTTGCAATATGATCCTTGATGGGTTGTAATTGTTTATAAATGTTCAAAAATACAAGTCTTGCGTTCTTCAAATATCATGTTTTTGAAACTAGTTTTGAACATAAACCTAACAATTGGTATCAAGAGCCACCTTGCCGGTTTGGATAGATTTTATAATTTTTTGAAATCTTAGTTTTTATAGAATATGGATAACTTGTTTTTGTATAAAAATGAGTTCATACATATTTTTTTTATAACTTTATAATTGTGATTTTTGTGACAAAATTTTATATGCATTTTTTTTCACTTAAAATTGCCTTAGAAAAACAAAGGTTGTTTATGTTCATATGTATATTAGAGTGCATAAATAAGTCATGGAACATTTATGTTGTTATTTTATTTGGACTTTTGGAAATGGGTTTTCGTAAAATATGTACTAAAAAGTAGCTAGTTTTCATTTTTGTTATTTTTATGTAATAAATTATTTTGGACCAGATTTTTTTTATGGAATATGTAACAAAATAAAGAAGGCGGCCGTTTTTGAAGATCCAAGAGGAGACCATGGTTTTATCTGATTTTGATGAAAGTTCATAGTTTTTATAAAAGATTTATAAAATTGTGAAAAAGTTTGTTGTTATTGCAAGTGGGAGCGTGGGGTCAACTTGAATTTCATATGAAGATCATTTGGTCCATTTTTTCCCTTTAGGAAAGGGATGGACACTTTTGTGTTGGCTCACAAAAGTGTCAACTAGATAATGACATGTTTATGAAACACATGTTTGTTTTGTTTATCTTTTAAGCAAATAATGTTGTTGATAGTTTAGATTTTCACAAACTAAAAAAAAATTCCTAGAAAAAAATAAACATCACATGGAGTTTGATTTTCAAAATATAATGTGTGAACATAAGATGTAACAAGTTATAACTTTAAAATAAAAACTGATTTTATTAAAGGGATAATGACTTGAAAGGGTAACAAGCTTTCGACTTTTGTCACATTTAGTCACTAAACTTTTTTTCGTTATGTATTTGCCATTGAACTATTGAAACTGTTCACATTTTACCCTTAAGGGTAAAATGTGAACAATTTTAATAGTTCAATGGCAAACAGATAACGAAAAAAAGTTTAGTGACTAAATATGAACAAAATCGAAAGTTCGTTTCCCTCTAAAAAGTTCAATGACTAAATGTGAACAAATCTCCTCTTGTGTTATGTTTTAGCAAATTATTTATTTTTGTTAAATTGTAGCAACATTTGTTGATAAAGAAATCTATGAAATAAAAAAAAACAAAACAAAACAAAACAAAACTCTGAAAATATATTTAAAAAAAAAACAAAAACCAAAACCACAATAAAAAACCAATGGTTTGACATTTTCCAAAATAAAAAATCAAAATTTCCAATATGATTTTGGTTTTACAAAAAAATAAACCATTCTCACTGATGTGAATTATAACCATTGGTTTGGCATTCAAAATTTGTGACATCTCATGAATATGTAGTTACAGCATCGTCTGAAATCGTAATTCATAATAAGGGGTTAGAGTATCATCACATGAATACATAATTACAATATCGCCTAAACTCGTAATTCATCACCTACAGGTTATGGGTCTGCTGGTGTTTCCACTGGGTTGTCTAAAATAGTTTGTGGTCGCCATCTATACTTTGGTAGATGACTACATCGTCACATTGCTAGTAAAGGTTATGGTATCTCCTTTCATCCTACATCACATATTCATCATCATCTATTTACCTAATTATCACCACCTTTCTATCATCACCTATCTCTCATCATTTTATTTCATCACACAGCAACTATTTGATCATCTACCCATGTTTCATCCGCAACATATTTGTAGATATAAAATAAATATACTGTTTAAATCTTTTAAAACATGTATAAAATCGTTCATCCAGCATAGACAGCAAGTATTGAAATAATATGCGCACATGGCACGTAATTTATATAAAATACTTCATATCTATGTGTAAGATGAAAGTAACTATATAGACCATAAATGCTTCCTAACTTTGAACCCCAAGGTTTACTCTACTAAAGCTTCATATTCTCGGCTCTTTGAACCTAGAAGGGTCTAATCTATCACACCAAAAAGCTCAAGATAGCTCTTCCTCTCACTTTACACACTCAAGCCCGCTAGCATTCTCACTTATGGGAAAGGTAATCGCAATTGAAGGCTATAAGTGCCTTTAAATATGGCTCGAGCCCAAAGATTTAGGGTTTCTGCCAATAGAGCGGACTCGTCGAGTCGCCTCACCGACTCGTCGAGTCCATTCATTAATCCGAGTCATTAGTCGCGACCTTACTTGACGAGTTGAGGCGTCAACTCGTCGAGTCTCTCTTCTTAACTCAAAAGAAAAATACTTAAATGATGATACCTGGAAATCCGGATGTTACATTTTGTTTTTTTTTTATTTCATAGATTTCTTCATCAACAAAT